TAGGCAGCTTTAACTCTGCCCCAGTACAAGATTTGAGCTGAGCGAAGGCGGCTTAGGGAATGCATTGAATAAAATGGCAACATTCTTAAGGGAAGAGAAAAATCAATCATCTTACAAGCAAAAAAAGAAACGACAAATCTGAAAAACTCATTTCTCCCTTATTAATTATTATATAAGTGGGTGGGAATAGGGTGAGGGGAGAGGATAAAACTAGGATGGCTGCCTAGCCTGTCTTTCAACTTCTTAATCTAAGTAAAGTGAAAACAAAACTCCTTATCATTGCACATTAATATGGCAAAAGATAATCGTAATATATAAAAGAGCTAGGTGCCATCACAACTGAACAGACGACTGGTCCCTTCCCGGCCTCGGCCACCCCCCGCCCCCCTTCAGCCCACAGGTTCCCATTGCTGAATGGCCAAGGGAGAGCCAGGGAACCGGGCTGGGTGGGTGACAGCGGAGCAGGACTGGGGATCGGCAAGTGGATGCAAGGCAGACCTACCTCCTGGTTCCGCCTCTCCCAGCCAGCAGGCTCCCATCAATCCTCAGTTTCTTCTGAAAGGAATGTGGTGCCTCCACTGCGCAGCCATCGGGGACACACACACACACACACACACACACACACACACACACACACACACACACACACACACACGTGGACTCACCGCTGTGAGAGGCTTCAACAGGGACTTTAACGCCTCCTCAGGGAAAAACTCACCTCCCTACACCACAGCTGCTTCCATGTCTGCAAGAAACTGCGCATGCTCCTCCCTGTGAGATGGGCAGGGCCAGAGCCAGAGACTGGACCTCCCAGATTCCTGTGGAGTCCCTGGTCTCTGAGCCATAAGGCCCCTTCCTCATGTTCCCCGGAATGCTCTGCTCAGTCACCATCCATACTAATAGAAGAGTAATATACTAATTAGACAGGATGACCGGACATCTTTCAGATATCCAACTTCCTTCCGGACAAAGCCACAGAGGTGGGGGCTGAGGTGGTTTTGTGATGGAGGCTGGGCCAGTGCAGGGATGGTGAGAATCACTGATTGGCTGCTTCTTGCGTGCCCCCACTGGAGACAGCCTGCAACTCAGGCATGTGCCCTTGACCAGAATCAAACTCGGGACCCTTTAGTCTGTAGGCCAACACTCTATCCACTGAGCCAAACGGCTAGGGCTCTCCACTAATTTTTTAAAATTGATAAGGCCTATTTAATATCCTTGAAAATTACCTGGAAATCTTTGCCAAATGATAATTAATAAAAATAAATAAATAATAATAAGAAGAACTATATTCTATTTATATATACATAGTTTATTAAAATAGATGTTCTGGAAATTTCATTGTACTCTAGGAAGGAACTTGCGAAGATTCAGAGCCAAGTTCAAACTGAAAGCTATCAGGGGTGACTCTCAGTGATTTCATGCAAGCCAAGAATGATAGCTACCTGTGGGGACTTCTTGTAGTGATATTCTGGCTGTTTTGGTCCACACAGTGGGGCATTTGTGAATTGTTTCCAGTACTCAATACACACTTCCAATAAGCCAATGTTTTTTGTTATTCTTATTATTGTTTTGAATCCTCACCCGAGGATATGTTTCTATTGACTTTTAGGGAGAGTGTAAGAGAGGGAAATACAGAGAGAAACATTAATGTGAGAGAAACACATCGATTGGTTGCCTCCTGCACGAGCCCTGACCAGGGCCTGGGCAGTGGAGGAACCTGCCATCACATAGATGCCCTTGAACAGAATCAAATCTGAGACCTTTTTATCTGCAGGCCGGTGCTCTATCCACTGAGCCAAACCAGTTATGGCAATTAGAGGAAATATTTTAATATTGCTATTGGCCCTTTCTCTATAATAGAGTGTCCTTCTGGCCCCACCCCCATTGAGTGACACCAAGACACCTGGTTGGCCCCACCCGTCAAGCATTGCCAGGCAGGGGACACAGCCTCAGGTCCTCTGGCCTCAGCGCTGGGGTGGTGGGGGATGTGGACGGGGGTCCCCTGGCCCTGAACAGCACCACACAGCCTACCCAGACCTGCTGCGTCATGGGACCCGTCCATGCACTTCCTGGTGACCAGTTGTTTGGTCATTATGCATGAAAATAAAGTCATGCATTTAAGCATGCACATTCATTTTAAAAATATATATATTTCATTGATTTTTCACAAAGCAGAAGGAAGACGAAACCGGTTTGACTCAGTGGATAAAGCGTCGGCCTGCGGATTGAAAGGTCCTAGGTTCGATTCTGGTCAAGGGCATATACCTTGGTTGCGGGCACATCCCCAGTAGGGGGTGTGCAAGAGGCAGCTGGTCAATGATTCTCTCTCATCGATGTTTCTAACTCTCTGTCCCTCTCTCTTCCTCTCTGTAAAAAAATCAATAAAATATATATATTTTAAAATAAAGTGGAAGAGAGATGGATAGAGAATTAGAAACATCAATTAGCTGCCTCCTGCACACTCCCTACTGGGTATGTGCCCACAACCAAGGTACATGCTCTTGACCGAATCAAACCTGCGGCCCTTGAGTCCGCAGGCCAACGCTCTAGCCACTGAGCTAAACCAGTTTGGGTTGCACATTCATTTTCAATGCCTAATTTGTCTACATTCTCTAAAATTGCAAAATAAGATCTTCAGCCAGATAACATCATAATGCCAAGCTTTTTATATAATGACACATACCATTCTCTCCACTCAATATGCTCCATTTGAATGGATTAAATGTATGTGTCTCATATGAAAGGCACTGCTGCTTGCTCTTAGGAAGCATTATCTCATTACCTAATGCCATAAAGTGGTTTAAATGGCATATACTGACTTGAACAGAAGGAAAAATAAAAAACAACGTTCAGTACTATGGATGGCATAATCCTCTCCCCTTCCCTTTGTTTTTATCTGCTTTTCCCATGAACCTATTTGTGCTGTAATCAGATGCTGTAATCTGCATTTCATAGTGCCATTTAAGTACCAAGAGGTGTTTTTCAATTTTTTTTTTTAATCAATGCAGCTCAAACTTGCGAGGTGAGGAAGCAATCAGTGTTGCTAATAACTTAATTCTCTCTGGTGTATCTGATGGATATCCAACAGAGGTACAGAGTAGATACTGGAACCCAAAGACCCGCTTAGTTTAATGTGGTATCTCCTGGGGTATTTCCAGTAGACCTACTTCAGCTAATAAGGAAAAGAGAGAAAAGCAATTTGAGACTTATTCTCCTCCACATATTCATGTAATATTAAAGATTTAATTCATTAGATAATGGTAACACATTGCAAACTAACAGCAGGAGTAGAATGGTTTTTAAATGAAAATTCCCTAATTTAGAAAAAGCCTCTAAGCATTTGATTTTGAAAATTCAACTAGCAGAGAATGCACATGTGTGCGTGCACACAGACACTCCCTACCACACACATAGGTGTGTACTTTTATATAGCATCAGCTCTACTATATAAATTTAAGAAATTAAAAGCAAAAGAAGAAATGTCAGGTTATGTATGAATACTCTGAGTTATGAGGATCTTGTGCTTTTGTATAATACAAGCTGTTTGTTAAAATATTTTAATACTCTCCTTAAAAACTTGTTTAAACTCGTTAAAACTTTCGTTTTTAATTAAAACAACAACACAGTTCCAGAATGTTCAACTGATTTGTAGGAAGGAAAATGAATAGTATTAGAGAACTTGAAAACAGTCAAATTAAGAGGCTATGTAAATAACCATGCATAACCCATGGACACTGACAATAGGGTGATAAAGGCCTGGGGCGGGGGAGGAGGGAGAAAGGGTAGGCTAGAAGAGGTCAGTGGGGAGAAAAAAGGGGACATTTGTAATATTTTCAACAAAGATTGTTTCTAAAAAGAATGAGATTTTAAAAATCTATGGAAATGTCATACTTAATAAAGGAAGCATTTTAGTTCAGAATAATAGAAATTATATTGATAAATGAAAAAAAAAAAGAGTCTATGAAAATAATTTTGCTCCATGGGAGTTTAAGTGTTGATTTGGTGAGATATTGGCTCATCTATTTATATTCATGACTTGCATATTTGAGGCCATATATAAATGCTGTTTTCTAGGACGGTATTTTTCTCTAAGATATCTTAATGAGCCTATGTATAGCATTTCTTATAGAAATTATTGTAATACCCTTCACAACCTTTCAAAAGAATCAACATGAAAACCCTGACTTCTTGGTGGAGGCGGGGAAGGAATGAGGAACTTTTGTAATAATATGAACAATAAAGATTTATTTTTTTAAAAAAAAGAAAAAAGAAAAGGAAACCCTGACTTCCTTTGCAAATTTGCTCATGGTTTCAAATTGTGTGTGTGTGTCTCATTTTTCAAAAGTTCTAAAAGGAAAGCTAGCAATTTCTGTTATAATCAAACATTCATTGAAGCTTCTTATATCCTATACAATTTGTCTCATTCCATCCAAATACAATCCTATGAATATTATCCCTGTTTTACAAAGAGGGAACAATTCTCTGAAATGCATATTAAAATGTGGCTTTTATGATTGGTTTCAAAGCCATCAAATTCAGAGGCTAAACCATCAAATTCAGAAGAATCACCGCTTTTCCGTTAGCCAGTTTGACACAAGAAGCCTCGCGGTATTACTCGAACTACTACTCCCAACATGCAAAGCGACTACCGCTCACCCGCCTACGCCCGTGGGTCCGGCGGGCCGCGCGGGCCTCGATGCGCGAAAGGCTACCTGGGAGTCGCAGTTCCGAGCCTCGGCCGGTACCGCCAGCGCGGCGGGGGCGGCTCGAGGAGTCCTCAGCCGGTTCCGCGACGGCGAGCCGAGGCGGAGGGAGGCGTGGGATTGGAACCCGGTGAGTCAGGCGCTCCCTACGCGATAAAAGGAGGCAGCGCCGCGGGGCAGGGCTGAGGCGAGGAGGCGCGGCCCTCGCAGCTCCGAGTGCTCGGGGACTCCGTTGACCGCGTGAGGAGAAGCCGGAGCCCGGCCGTTCTCGCCTCGGCGCCCGCCGCCATCGCCGCCATGCAGGCCCTGGAAGACGGCCCGTGCTTCCGCCGCCTCCCCAATCCCCGCGGTGGGAGGCGGCCCAAGAGGATCAACAAGCCCTCCGTGTCGGCCTTTTTCACGGGCCCGGAGGAGCTGAAGGACACGGCCCACTCGGCCGCGCTGCTGGCGCAGCTCAAGTCCTTCTACGACTCGCGGCTGCTGTGCGACGTGACCATCGAGGTGGTGACGCCCGGCAGCGGGCCTGGCACGGGCCGCCTCTTCTCCTGCAACCGAAACGTGCTGGCCGCCGCCTGCCCCTACTTCAAGAGCATGTTCACCGGCGGCATGTACGAGAGCCAGCAGGCGAACGTGACCTTGCACGACGTGGACGCCGAGTCCTTTGAGGTGTTGGTCGAATACTGCTACACCGGCCGCGTGTCCCTGAGTGAAGCCAACGTGGAACGCCTGTACGCGGCCTCCGACATGCTGCAGCTCGAGTACGTGCGGGAAGCCTGCGCTTCCTTCCTGGCCCGCCGCCTGGACCTGGCCAACTGCACCGCCATCCTCAAGTTCGCTGACGCCTTCGGCCATCGCAAGCTGCGGTCGCAGGCCCAGGCCTTCATAGCCCACAACTTCAAGCAGCTCAGCCAGATGGGCCCGATTCGGGAGGAGACTCTGGCAGATCTGACCCTGACCCAGCTGCTGGCTGTCCTGCGCCTGGACAGTCTAGACATCGAGAGTGAGAGGACAGTGTGTCACGTTGCCCTGCAGTGGTTGGAGGCGGCTCCCAAGGAGCGGGGTCCCAGCGCTGCGGAAGTCTTCAAGTGTGTCCGCTGGACACACTTCGCTGAAGAAGATCAGGATTACCTGAAAGGGCTGTTGACTAAGCCCATCGTGAAGAAGTACTGCCTGGACCTTATCCAAGAGGCTCTGCAGATGCGATATGGTGACATGAGGTACAAGTCTGTGGTGCCAAGGCCAGACGGCAGCAGCAGCTCTGTTGCATCCACAGCAGAAAATCCACCCCAGAGGCTGGGCATGTGTTCCAAGGAGATGGTGATCTTTTTTGGACATCCCCGAGACCCTTTTCTCTGCTATGACCCATACTCAGGGGACATTTACACCATGCCTTCACCTTTGGTCCGCTTGGCTCACACTAAAACTATCTCCTCCTCAGCTGTCTGTGTCTCTCCGGACCATGACATCTACTTAGCTGCCCAGCCCAGGAAAGAACTCTGGGTATATAAACCAGCTCAGAATAGTTGGCAGCAACTTGCAAATCGCTTACTCTGTCGGGAGGGCATGGATGTGGCTTACGTCAATGGCTACATTTACATCTTGGGTGGGCGAGACCCTATTACTGGGATGAAATTTAAGGAAGTGGAATGCTACAGTGTTCAGAGGAATCAGTGGACACTGGTGGCTCCTGTACCCCACTCCTTCTATTCCTTCGAACTAATAGTGGTTCAGAACTACCTTTATGCTGTGAACAGTAAGCGCATGCTCTGCTACGATCCTAGCCACAATACGTGGTTGAACTGTGCTTCTCTTAAACGTAGTGACTTTCAGGTAGCCTGTGTCTTCAATGATGAGATCTATTGTATCTGTGACATCCCAGTCATGAAGGTCTACAATCCAGCTAGGGGAGAATGGCGGAGAATTAGTAATATACCTTTGCTCTCAGACATCCACAACTATCAGATTGTCAGCTGTGGCCAAAAGTTGCTCCTCATCACTTCTACCACCCCACAATGGAAAAAAAACCGGGTGACTGTGTATGAATATGATTCCAGGGAAGACCGTTGGGTTAATATAGGTACCATGTTAGGTCTTCTGCATTTTGACTCTGGATTTATTTGCCTCTGTGCTCGCGTTCATCCTTCTTGCCTTGAACCTGGTCAGAGTTTCATTACTGAGGAAGATGATGTACGGAGTGAGTCTAGCAATGATTGGGACTTGGATGAATTCAGTGAGCTGGACTCTGAGTCAGGAAGTTCAAGTTCTTTCTCTGGTGATGAAGTCTGGGTTGCACATCAGCAAATTTCACAGGATCATTAGGATTCTTTGTAAATATTTTGAGACACTTCAGATGTTTCTATGCTATGTAATCTATCCTTAAAAAAGTATTCTTTCCTTTTTCTGAAAAACAAAATTGACTAGGACCGCAGATTTGGTTTAGAAAGGCTAATGTTTGAATTACTTATGTTACAAAATTTAAAGTCCATGAAATCAACCTATATAATAATTTGCTGTTGAAAGTCGAGATTAAAATATGGAGAAAATGAACTATATAATTTATTAGAATGCTTGGTGTGCTTTTTTTCATTGTTCAACTATTCATTGCACCAGTGGATTGTATTAATTAGTTGCACTGTTTATATTTTGGTCATCTAATATAGTCTTCTGTTAATTTTTTAAATTCTATTTAGTGCCTGCCACAAGAAATTTAACTTCTTAATTTTTAGAATAGAAAATTGGACTAGAAACTTCATTGGCTTTTGAAGGTTTGTATTTTTCCTTCAGAATAATGAAAGTAATAGATTTAACAAATTTTAAAGTAGTCTTTAGTATTCTAAGTTAATATAGTTTGTTAAATTTGGGTTGATTTTCTTCCCTTTTGCAAAGGAAAAAAGTGAACATATAAAGCTTACTGAATAGTGATTTCATTTTAATATAGTGCAGAATGGAAGAGGTCACTGAAAGTAAAAAATAAATCAGTCATGATTTCATTGTTTTAAGAGAAATTTAGCTTCTAATTTTGAAATGTATTTTTGCTAAATGTGACCATTTTTCTATATTAAAAGACATCATTTTTTGTAGTGTCAGCAATCATTTAACACCCTTTCAAACAAAAAATTTTAAAAATAGGTGATTTATAAATTCATATTTTTCATATATAAGCTGATACATGTTCATTGAATCAGAGAAACAATCCTTTTCACTGGACAAATCCTTGGGTAATGTACTTTTTATCCATTAGTCGTGGCCTTGTCTTAAAAAGTTTATATGCTCTCCTAAAATATTTTGGCTGTATAATGTTGGTGTTTGTCTTGGAGGATTCTTCAGCAGGAAGTGATTTATTCTTTACTGTTTTGTGAAGTGATACTGGTTTTAAAAATATGTATAAGCTAAAAAACAGTATTTTATTGAGATCAGTAGTTACTGTATCCAATTATAAAATCAAGGGCCAGCAGAGAACTTTAAAACTTTAAGCTGTATATAAAACTGTTCTTTGTAATGTTGAAATATTCTGTCAGTTTTGTAAGTTACTATAAATAATTATGAGCTTGAAGGTATTTTTATATTAAAAGTTGACAAAGAATATATGTGGATAATGGCATTTGAGGCCAATAGTGAAAGTATATTTCCTCTAAAATATTTCCCTAAGCAGTGATATATATGGTTATTTTATTAGGATATTTATATTTGTTCTGTATTTTTCAGTGAACCAACACTCCAATCTTGGATTTTTATTTTTCACATTTATTTATTTTTTTGTATCACCATGATGTGTAAGGGAAAATCCAAAAATAGAAATTAAATTGCACAAAATTGACATTGATAATACAAGAAAATATAGGTACCATAATATATATATATATATATATATATATATATATACACACACACACACACTTTATTGATTTTTTACAGAGAGGAAAGGAGAGGGATAGAGAGCTAGAAACATCGATGAGAGAGAAACATTGACCAGCTGCCTCCTGCACACCTGCTACCTGCTACCCGGAATGTCCCCGCAACCAATGTATAAGCCTTTGACCGGAATTGAACCTGGGACCGCAGGCAGATGCTCTATCCACAGCCAAACCGGTTTCAGCAGGTGCTTATCTTTTAAGAGCATCTGTACATACATGATTTTCATAATTGTGATAAATGGTGTACATATACAGATACCTATAGTCTATAAATTTTTTTATACCCACTAAGAATGATCTTGAATTTTTGTTCAATAACATACTAATTCCCTGTCTCTGTCTGTTAATTCTCTAGAGACCAAATGCTAACATTTCTTATACCCTGACATAGTACTGAGGAGTGTGCTCTGGGACGAGAAATTGAATTTTGATTGAAAAAAATAGAGGTAGAGAAAAACGATTAAAACAAAACAACATACTTCTTAGTCTTTTTTTTCTTCTTAGTCTTTTGAATGGCCATTTGATGAATCCACAAAACATTCCTGCTTAACATTATTTCTAGCAAAGTAAAGTAAAATGCTTTAGCAGCCTAAGGCTAACTGATTCCATTGATAACAGATGTGTATAAGCACCTTTTTGAAACCGACAGAGATTTCACTATAGTGTTATTTTTTTTGGCCAACTTTTTTGGCTTAACTTTGTTTTGTAAACTTGAAATAGGACAATGCTTATCTCAACCATATTATCCATCTGCAGAATTAAAGTTTGCAACTGATTGATAAGACAAATTCTCTTAAGTTGTCATTCTCAACTTTAAGTTGGGTATAAGCTAATTAGTAGTAATGTATTGTTTTATAAAGATTTTCTTGGAAAGGATTTTGGTTTTGTGAATGTTTGTAAATTAGGGAGTAGATGTTAATCATTATTTTAAAGATAAGTGATTTGTACATGATTAGTTACAAATAAAACTAGCACTAGAACCCAAGCTATCTGATCTCTTAATTTAGTGTTTCTGCTAAATGTGTGAAACTCTTACTTATGCATTGTGTGACACAACTAGCAGTGTTGAAATCCCTTCCTGACAGGAAAGCACCTTCATCTCAGTTTTACAATTAATTGGCACATTTTTAAACAAATGCTCAATGTCATTTTCAGGACTACTATTTCTAACATTTAGAATGATCTTAATTTCTTTTTGTGTGTGTGTGTGTGCCTTAGAGAATCCTAATTATTTCAATATTTTAAAAATTCAAACAATAATTGTCTGGTGTTTTCAAAAGGGTAAAAAGACTAATTTCAGCAAATAACTTGTGTGGGGTTTTTTTTGTTGCAAATAATGTGTTTAATTTGAGTTTAGGATTAAGTTTAAGTTGTAGTTTGCTACTAACTGCTCATTAAACTAGGGACCAGTGTTTGCCTGAAATTATTTAATTATAATTTATAACTCATTCATCATATTTTACGATTTTTTCCTCATTTCAGTACAAATTTGTCTTAATGTTCATAAACTGGAAATGTAAAAAGTTTGCAGCAATATGTCAGTCCCCTGAGCTTTAAAAGAAAGTTTACTTGTTTTTGTTCTTTTGAAAATATATTGATTTAGAGAAAGAGAAATATTGATGTTAGGGAAAAGCATCAATTGGTTGTCTCCTGTATGCATCCCAACCAGGGATTGAACCAACCCACTACCGGGGCTTGTCTCCTGACCAGGAATTGAACTGATGACCCTTAGTGCGTGGAACAATGCTCAATCAACTGAGTCACACTGGCCAGGGCTAAAGCTTACTCATCTTTATAGTCCTGAAGTGTGATATGTGGACCTCTATAATCTGCTTTAGATATGAACTCTTAGAATCGTTTTAGCTGTTTTACTTTGCCTCTGTCCTCGTCAGATATCTCCTGTAGCTTTTTTTATTTTTTATTTTAATAACCTTTTTCTTTAACCCAATCTATCAAAAATGTTATTTTAACAAGTCATCAATCACAACTTATATTCTCACCTCCAAAACAATTTTAGCTGCTTGTAATCATATCTTTTTTAAAAAGTGAGATATTCTACGTTCTTTCTTCATATTAAGTCTGAAATTCTGTATTTCACACATACTATATACAGCACACCTCATTTTACATGAGTATGCTTTAATAGCTGTCTGTAGCTACTGTATTAGATAGCACAAACCAAGATTATTTTGCCTTTTCCCTAAAACTGAAGTAATTTATCTCAGTCCAGGAACCTGAGGTCCTGGCCCCTAAAGATTCTTCATAGCCTCTTAAAAATTTCAACACCTTTTCATCATTACAACTTTAAAAGAATATTCATTATGGCAAGTATGATAAAATAAAAATGAAAGTATTAGGCAAAAATGTTAATAGAAAATATGGCTACCAATCTTAAGAGAATTAATTGATAATCTATTTTTAGAACCATCAAGATGATTAAATATATGCAAAACCAGTTATTTTTTAATGGGGAAAAAAATGTACACAGAAGCTGCCAAGTCGGAGAGTACCAAATAGGCAGTGGGTTTTGTGCTCTCTCTTTGGGCCAGTTGGTTACCCGGATGTAGACAGATAGGCTCAGTTAAGGTAAATGTTGACCTAGTCAGTGAAGATACCTGCCTAGGAGGTGACTACCCACCATAATTGCTTTTAGTTAAAGTTTAATTTCAGACCATCTTGTGGTTATTTTAGGATTCTGAGTCTGCAAGACTGTTATGCAGGCCTTCCCTGAGCCTGTCTGGTTAGCATGTGGCCCCTTTTGTCCATAGCAGCAAAGTTGTTTGCTATCTCCTATTCCTGCTGAGCTAGACCAATGGAACACCCTCTTGGTAGAATTTTGGCAGGAAGAAGGATTGCAGGACTCTCCCAACCGAAAACCTAGTGAACTGATTTATACAGAAAGGGTTTTTGAGCAAACCCACACAAAACACTTAACATGCTATAAGTCAGGGGTAGGGAATACCTGGCCCTCAG